CTCCTCCTCCTCCTCCTCCTCTCCTCCTCCTCCCTCCTCCTGCGCCTCGTCCTCCTCCTCCTCCTCCTCCTCCTGCGCCTCGTCCTCATTCCCTCCCCGCTTAGGATGTACAACCTGAAACCGGGCATCGATTCTCTCCATTTGGAGCAGTCGCACAGCGCGTGGCATTGCATTGCACCGCGTTCCTCTTCCTCCGTCCGCATCCCTCCTCCCCCGCCTCGTTCGTCCTCCACCTCTCCTCCTCGCTCCCCCCCGTCGTCCTCGTCCTTCTTCCGATCCTCCTCCCACCTCCCCCTCACCCTCATCCCTGCTCCTCCTCCTCCTCCTCCTCCACCTCCTCGTGTGTCCTCCTACCCTGTGATCCTCCCTCCTCCCTTCTCCCTCCTCCCTCCTCCTCCGGCCTCCTGCCTCCTCTCCCTTCTCCCAACTTCACCCTGCCTCCTCCCTCCATCCTGCCTCCTGTCTCCTCCCTCCTTCCTCCCTGGTTCCCCGAATACTTTGGGCTGCTTGTCGGCTGATGGCAAGAAGGTCCGCAAAGGGCTCGTCACGAACAGCAGGGTCGGCATTCTCCAGGCGATGAGCCAGCTGGACCTTGTGCTCGTCGGCCTTCCACGAGCCAGGCTGTCCCCGGGCTTCAGCCTCGCAGGCATCCCCCGGGTTCAGATCGCGGCCAATGGGGGACCCTCGTGGGCAATCGCCACGGTGGTCTGGAATGCCGACCGCTTTCACAGTGTTGAACTTCTTGACGTGCGGGCGGCCCGGCGGCTGTGGCTTCGCTTCCCAGTCACAGGGGGGTCACCATGTGCGGTCTGCACTCTCTACCTCCCTCCTCCCCTTAAGTCTGGCGGGGATGTGGAGTGGTTCACAGGAATCCGAGGGCTCGAGGAGGACCTCTGCGTTCTCTACGGCTGGCCGCCCGCCACTGAGGGAGCGCCAGTCGTCATCCTGGGGACGTCAACGTCCAGCCCGACGAAGCCCGCGGAGATCGGGACCCGTGCCCGGCCAGGATGAGCTCATGGTCCACAGTTCGCCCACGAGTGGCATCTCCGTCACCGGAAATCTCATGGCGGGCCTCGGAGAGTCACAGGAAGTCTGTCAGGGAAACGAACTCTATGCACCGACGCTTTTTCCAACCCTACGCTGAAATTCGCACAGGAACGCGGATCCTGGTGTATACGGAATCCTGGTGTATACATGTTGCATTGCTTCCCTCGGAAAACGGGGGAAAAATATACACCACATCACCCCCACGTCGCCCCCGACCCTCAAAAAGTCGTGGGACTGAAAAAACAACCCGCCACTGGTAATGTATTTGTTCCAGTTTCCGATCTCCCTCCCCCTTCGTCATCGGTCCGTCCGAATCCGCCCCAGCGACGCACGTCGCTGCAGGGAAGGGCGGCCGCGCCGCTTCGACGTCGCCCCTTGGCCACCCCGGGCGGCCTCGGGGGCAGCCACGGTCCACAGCGGAGCCGCGTGGCTGTCAGCACGGGAGCCTCTGCAGGCGGGGAGATCGCGTCGACTGCGCATTCGGCGACCATGTCCCCCTAGAAGATGTCCCCCCCGTTGGGAAAAATATTCCTCCTCCTCCTCCTCCTCCTCCTCCTCCTCCTCCTCCTCCTCCTCCTCCTCCTCCTATCTTCGTCGTCGTCGTCCTCCTCCTCCTCCTCCTCCTCCTCCTCCTCCTCCTCCTCCTCCTCCTCCTCCTCCTCCTCCTCCTCCTCCTTACCCCCATCCAACTCATGGTGGTGATGGTGGAAAACGGGCCCATCAGCCTTCGGGAGGCCCTGCTCCAGCCAGGCTCCAGGATGGACGCACTTGCCGCCCGCATGCGGGCCTTGCCGCCACCGGAGACGTGAGGCTTTTTAGGAGGCCCCGCGAGGGCACGACGGGCACCCACTCCCCCCCCGGGCGGTTCCCAGGACGCGCGGAGCAGACAACTGGCCAGACTGGCCGGACTGGGCAACGCGCTGAGCGGCTCCCGGGGGCAGGCCAACTGGCCAAACCAGCGGGGCGCGAGCTGCCCCGCGGAGGTCTCGAGCCGCTCGCCGGGGCCACCCGTGGGGCCCGCGGCGCGCGCCCGCGCCGAGGGCGGGGCCCCCACGACTGGGCACGGGCGGAAGCAGAGGTGGGCGTGGCGGTGGGCACGTGAAGGCCGACCAGCGCCACTGCCCCAGACCCGCTCCCGCGGGCGGCCCTCCTGGGCGGCGAGCCACAGGGGGGGAAGTGAGAAGCGGCGTGCCTTCTCGGAAGGCCTCGGGAGTCCCCCCCCCCAGACTTCTGGGGAGGTTTCTGCGCCTCCCCCGAAGACAGGAAAAGCTTCTCAGAAGGCGCGAGCGCTTCTGAGAAGTCCCGCCGCCTTCTGAGAAGGCATTCTCCTTCTCAATTCCCCCTCGCTCGCCGTCGAGCTTCTGTTGGGAGAGACTACTGCACGAGAGCGGTCGTCCGGCTTCCTCCGAGGCTCGCGGGGCCGCGCTGCCCAGCGGCCCGCCCGCGAGACTGGAGGGGGCAGCTGCGCGGTCCCCGTCCACGAGGGCGGCCCCGGCGACAGAGGCGAGTCAGTCCGTCGGACCGTGGTCAAGTCTCGCGTCGGCCTCTCGGGGATGGACTTAAGTCAGGCCTGTCCTCCTACAGGTGAATTTTGGACGAGAAATAAAAAATAGTCAAAAATACGCCAAAATGGTAATCGTCCCCAGCCTATTTTTGTTCACTGTTTTAAGGATGGACAGAACCCCCTTTAGTAAGACGCAGTTTAGTGAAAACGGCCTCCGGCCCAACCCTAGCGGGCGCAGGCCTGGAAGGATGACGGCCGTGGCGCCCTCGAGGACCGAAGACGGACAACTCACACATCGGCATGTCAGGGTGGGGGTTCTGTCCACCCCCCAGCCTCCTCCTTCGGGAGGTCATACTTCTCCCCCGCGTGCGCCCAGAGCTGTGATCCAAAATCGCGCCCGGGCAAAGCGGGGTATACTCGCGACGTTGGAGAGGCCCACCTACTACTCCACGAGTTGGCCGCCGAGGCCGCTTCCACTGGGCGACCGCTGTGGGCGATGTTCGGGAACCTGCATGCTACGCACAAGGCGGGAATCTTTGCTGGTGCGCCTCAAGGGTACAGCGGGCCTCGCGGACGGAGTTTACGCCCTGCTCGCGAACAATAACTCTGGAAACGGATTTCGCCCACGTGAACCACAACGGAGCCCAAGTCGTCGCCGTCGCACAAGGGATAGCCGAAGGAGGCACGATCGGCCCCCTTCCTTTCCCAGCGCGCATGGACTCATTGACAGAGATGCTGCTAGCGGCCAGGGTGCGGGGTGGGTATCGGGGGGCGCGCGCCCCCAGCCTGGGCACAGCATCAGTGACGAAGCACGGGCACGCCCACCCAGAGGGTAACAGAGTAGCTCCTCAAGGCACTGCAAGGAAAGCAGCCTCTCCCCACTTCTCGGAAGCTAGCCGCGGACTTGGATCTGGAGGCGCCCGCTCTCGCAGCGCGAGACGCCTCCGCTCCGCGGCGGCTGGCTGTCATCCTCCACGCGGACGATCCAGTCTTGCTGGCGTTCTCGCGGGGGGGCCGCCCAACGATCGCAGGCGGCGCTGGCGGAATGGGCGCGCCAGCACACCAAAATGCACGAAAGGCAGCCAAACATACTGCAGCGGTCCACGGAGGCGAGTGCGCGCGAGCGCCGCAGGGGCATCTGCTCCACCAGTGGTCCTCCTGCTGCGCGGGCCGCATCCCGTCCAGATCCAGATGCCCGCGTCGCACGAGCGGCTGGGCCTGCAGTGGGATGGGGGCTAGTCCCGCGAGTGCTTGCCAGGCGCCCGCCTGGAGGGCGGCGGCGTCCGCGCAGTGTGCCACCCTGGCGGGGCAGGTCTCCAGTGGCCTCCTACCCCTGTCAGCGGCCGCCGGGATCTTCGCATCCCAAATCGGTTCTTCCCTCCGATGTGGCAGGTGGCTGTGCGCCAGCGCCGGAGGCGCTTCCTCCAGACTGGAGGAGCAATCTGCGGCGTGGGCTCGGGCATTCCTCGGTTGCCCGGCATGGAAACAGGCGGCCACAGCCTCAGCAGAGCCGGGCTGGACGCTCGCAGGCTCGGGGCACGCGATCCTTGATGTGGCTTCGAGGCGGCCGAATCCCTGGAGGTTGCCAGAATCCGACCTCTACGGCATTGTCTTCGTGCGTGCGCACCTGGTCGCGAGTGTCGCTGCATTTGCTTGAATCCTTAGGTCTTCCGGGTTGGCCAGCCCGGGAGGCCTCCTCTCCGGGGCTCCGCCTGGAGGCGCACAGAGCCAGAGGCCGGGAGCTCGTGGAGGAGCGGTGCCAGAGGCAGCCGATCACGGAGCTGGCCGCGCACGCGCGGCCCCTGCCCCTGTCTCTCCCTGGGAGGGGGGGCCCCTGACGATCTACCCCAGGCCCTGTCTGTGGGGCCTCGAGGGGGGGGCTTCAGGGCCAGAGGGCGCGTTCGGGTCTTCGCCTCCGCCTCGAGCGACTCGCCCGTGTTGGGGGAGAGCCGGCTCGTGGGGGTGGCTTCGAGAGCCCCCTTCCCTTGGACAGCTAAGCCCGGGCTTCCCGCGGAAGCCCAAAAGGAAGGGGGGGGGTCCGAAGCCCCCTCCATTTGCAGAGGGCAGCCCGAGCTCACCCCAGCACCAAAAGGAACGGGAGGTAGCTCGAAGCTGGGGCCCCCCTTTTGTTCTTCGCGTCTCCCGCGCGCGCTCTTTCATATATTCGACTGCGTAGCGTGCATCTGATAGCTAACACCACATAGCTTGCACAGCATTGCCTATACCTGCGCGACATAGCTTACACCGCATAGCGTGCACCACATACATTGCACCGCATCGCCGCATAGCTTGCACCACATGACTTGCTCTACATGAGTTGCACGACGAAGCTTGCACCACAGAGCTTGCACAACATCGCTCGCACATCCACAATACAACGGCTTACTGCTTGAGGTCCAAGCTGGCTAACATAGTTTGGTTCGACGATGCCGTCGGAGCGGCGGGAGGCCTCCCTGACCACCTGCAGCTGGGCCGAGAGGTCCTCTATCGAGCCCTTCAGGAAGTCCCGCTCCTCGCCAGCAGCCGGGTGGGCCCGGCGAGCGGCCGTGCACCCGACGTCCTCCGCATCGTCCTGCCCCTCCTTGCCCGATCTGGCGCTGAGCCCTCGTGCCCGCACCGTTACAGCCGAAGAACGGCCACAAGGACGCGAGTCAAGAAGATGATCCTCTTCGCTGAAAGCCCAGGACCCACTGGAGAGGCCCCACATGAAGAGCATTCCAAGGTGAAGGGCCTGGGCACGAAGAACAGGAGGATGCCCTTCAAGAGTACGGACGCTTCAACCCCTAGTGCTAGCCGACTCCAAAAACCACACACCCACGAGTGTTGACGTCTCGCGGATGCTCTCTCCGCCTTCCGCCGGCACTCCGCCGCCAGCCCGCCTTCGGCGAGGCTTCGCCGAAGGCGGGGCCCCTCCTGGGACGCCCTGCCGAGTTACCCCAGCCGGGCCAGGGAGGTGGAGGTGATCCAGGCTTGGTCATGGGCTCCATCGGGGCGGGTGTGACGCAGAGGAGCTGGAAAAAGTGGGAGTTGGAAAGTCGCCGAACGCGGAAGTGGCCACGGCTGGAAGCGAGCCCGAAGCAGTTGGGATGAGGTCGCCAGGGCTGGAAAAAATAAAGGAAAGCGGCCAGGCCTGAAGGAGTAGAAGGGCTGGCCACAGCCACCTTTTCCAGCTTCACTGTGCCAGTTTGTGTAACGTCGATCTGGTTCCTGGAACTGCGCAGAGCTGCAAGGCAGCGCAGTCCATGGGGCAGCTCCTCGTGAATGTGATCGACTTGTGTCACTTGCACGTGCGCCTCGGAGACGCTTGGCTTCCACACGCGGACTGGACAAAATCGTACCGGCGCGAGCTATTCCGATTCATGCATAGCCTTCATAAGTTTACCCAGGCTGTGCGCTGGGAGGATCGGCCACCCGCAGGAGCAACCCTCGGCAGGAGTGGCACGGGGCGCGCGGCCTGCCGATCGCTGCGTGCAGTGTGGCGGCCGTGGCCTGCGTGCGTGGGCTGGCCCCCACCCCCCGCGCCTCCGAGGGCTGCGAGCCAGAAGTCACCGTGGCGGAGGGCCGCTCGTGCGTGCAGCTGGACTGGTGCCCGGAGAGTGGGACCGCCGCGGGAGAGACAGAGGAGGCAGAGGAGGTGGTGGAGGAGGTGGAGGAGGAGGAGGAGGTGGAGGAGGAGGAGGAGGAGGAGGAGGAGGAGGAGGTGGAGGTGGAGGAGAACAAGGAGGAGGAGGTCGAGGAGGACGAGGAGGAGGAGGTGGAGAAGGAGGAGGAGGCACCCCGAAGAAGAGGCGGGAGAGGTGGGCTCGCCAGGCCGCAGGGGAAGCACAGTCTCAGGCGTTCAGGTAGGACGTGGTGTCAATCTGGGCGGGCATCGCGCCGATGTTGACCTCGAAGCGCTCCTGTACCTTCTTCAGCACCTCAGCGTCCTCGTCAGTGGCCGAGAATGTGATCGCCAGCCCCTTGGTGCCGAAGCGCCCCGCGCGCCCCACGCGGTGCAGGTACGAGTCGCTGTCATCGGGCATGTCGTAGTTGATGACGATGTTCACCCTCTCGATGTCGATGCCGCGCCCAAACAGGTCGGTAGATACCATGATGCGCTTCTGGAACTCCTTGAACTGCTTGTAGCGCGCGATGCGGTCCTCCTGGTTCAGGCCCGAGTGGATAGCGATCGAAGGGAAGTTGCACTCCACGAGCAGCTTATCGAGCGCTATGGCGCGCTGCACCGACTTCACGAAGATCACGACCTGGTTGAACTCCAGGGCGTCGAGGAGGTCGTTCAGCTTCCGATTCTTCTCCTTCTCCGAAAGCTTCACGTAGTACTGCAGGAGCCCGTGCAGAGTGAGCTTGGACTCCTCATCCACGCGGATCTCGTGGGGGTCCTGCATGAACTTCTTGCACAGGGCCCTCGTCTCCGCTGTCATTGTGGCGCTGAACATCATGACCTGCTTCTTCTTCGGGGTTTCGACGAAGATCTGCTGGATGTCCTTGCGCATGTCCAGTTTGTCAAGGCACTTGTCGCACTCGTCGAGCACGAATTGGGTCAGCTTGTCGAGCTTCAAGTCCTTCTCGCGAAGAAGGCCGAGGACGCGGCCGGGCGTACCGATCAGAATCTGAGGGCAGGACTCCTTGAGCATCTCCTTGTCCTTGCTAATGGGGACACCGCCATAGACCACGCCACACTTCACGTCCGCGAAGTACTTGGCGAAGCGGTCGAACTCGTGCTTGATCTGGTACGCAAGCTCGCGCGTGTGACAGATCACCATGGTCCTGACGACCTTCTCACTCGCGTCGATCTGCTGCAAGCACGCCAAGACAAACACCGCCGTCTTTCCCATGCCGGATTTGGCCTGGCAGAGCACATCTGTGCCGAGAATGGCCTGCGGGATACACTCGTGCTGCACCTCGGACGGGTGCTCGAAGCCGCAATCCACGATGGCACGGTTCAGCTCAGGCTTCAGCAGGAAGTCCTTGAAGCCTGTCGCGTGGATGTTAGCGTAGCTGCCCTTCTTCTTGTCGTCCCCCTCCTTCGCCTCCTCCTTGGTCTCCTTCTCGTTGTCCTCGTCGAAGTCGGGCAGCTCCTCCTCTGTCGCCATCAGGGGACTTGGGAGGCGCGCACAATGACACCACCACCACCAAGATCTGGGGTCACCGCCTTCGAGGGGGGATGACCCACGCCCTTGCAATATGGCCGAATCCTGGAACACTGAACCCGCAAATGTTGACGTCTCATGTTTACTTCCGCTGCATTCCGCACGCCTCCTGCCAACCTTCGCCGCGGGGGAGGGACGCGGAAGGCGAGGCCCTTTCTGGACCGCCGCGCGTGTGCCAACGCGCAGGCTTCGTAAGAGGCCCACCTGTACCCACCACTGGAGCCACTTGGCTTAGGGGTCATGACGGGCAGCGTTGAGGGGGACCAGCCCAGCCCAGGGGGGGAAAGCGTCGAAATTGAAGCAGCGATACGTCGCCGATGGACCAGCGATAGGCCCCCCGATCGCGAATCCGCACCTTCGTGGGCGAGGTGGGCCGTCAGGCCCCTGTCGGCGATGAAGGGGCGATCTGGGATCGATGCGTGACCCTCTGAGCCGATCCGCCCTCCAACGTTGCCCTTGATCTCGTGTTGCTAGAAGTACCCCTGGCCCAAGGTGCCCCCAGGATTCTCGGGGGTGGCCCAGGCGGCCTCCAGGGCATCCCCCCCCACGAGGCCCAGAGGACCCCAGGGGCTCCCAGAGGGAGCGAAAAGCTGGGGGCACCTTCGGCCAGGGGCACTTCTCCAGCAACGCCCGACCCGAGGCCGCCTCCCCTCGGGGGAGGCGCCCCCCGGATCCTGGCGAGGGCGCCCACCTGCGAGCCTCCCCGCGTGACCGGCTCGGGCAGCCGAGGGCGGCGGGGGGAGCGGTGGCTGGAGGAGCACAGACGACTGCGACGAGCCGCCCCCCTGCTCGTGCTTGCCCCCCTGCCTGCGACGAGCCGCCCCCCATCGCCCACCTCCTGCTCGTGCTTGCCCTCGGCCCTCGGAGGCCGGGGAGGAGGGCGAGATCTCCGGGTGTTCTCGGCGGTCGGTTCTCCCCGCTCGTGCTTTGTGTGTTTTGGGCCCTCAGGGGCCTCCGGGGGACCACCGGGGGCTCCCGTGTGTCGGAGTCGCGGCGCGCGTCGCGTGAAGCTTCATGACCAACCTTCGCGTGAACATGTGCGAGTTGCGCGTTGCTCGTGTGTGCGTGTGTGATGTCCTGTGCTGTGCGTGCTTCGCTCTGCGCTATGCGTTGCACGTTGTGCTGATTGGTGTGTATGTATTTGTTGTATCGTGAGCCGTGTGCTGTGTATTCTGTGCTGTGTGAATCGCTGTAGGTGCGGCGTGATGTGTGCTTACGTCTTGAGGGCCCTCGTAAGGACTCCCTGGGCCGTTTCGAGGGCATCTGGGGCATTATTGGCTGCTCTTGTGGGCTGCGCGCGCTGCGTGTGTGCTCGAACTGTCTTGAGAGCGGCATTGAAGTCTTCTTAGACCCTACTGAAGGCACACGGCACTTCCAACCAAGCTAACATCGATAATGCATACGCCTGTGCGTAAGTTGCTGGCCTCTGCAGAAGGGAATACGTGCAAAAGGCGCGAGAAGGGCAACCCGTGCACGGGCGCGCGCGAGAGAGAGGGGGGGGGAGAGAGAGACAGAGAGAGGGAGAAAAAGGGAGAGAGAGAGAGAGAGAGATAGAGAGAGAGAGAGAGAAACCCAGTTGCACATGTCAGCCAACGTGGACCCAGGACAGCGCGTTGCTAGCAATATTTGTTATGCAACCTACGTGGAGCAATCTGTGGTGTAGTCTAGTTTGTGCGATCTATATATATATATGTATACATATACGGCGGTACAATCTATGCGGTGCAACTCACTTTGACCGTCTTGAAGCTGTCCTCTCCACTGCTCGTGCAAACATCCCACCCTCCCACCCGCAACTTGGTCGCAAGACCTCTTAAGACAAGACCGTGACGGTAGGTACCACATGACACTTGGCAACGACACCGACGCCGACGACGACAGCGACATCGACGACGACGGCGCCGTCGACACCGACTACGACGACACCGACGACGTCTCCGACGACTTCGACGACGACAACGACGACACCGACGACGACGACGACGACGTCAACGACGCCGACGACGACGACGACGACGACGACGACGGCGGCGACGACGATGACGGCGGCGGCGACGACGACGAAGGCGACGACGACGCCGACGACGACGATGACGACGAAGACGACGACGACGTCGCCAACGAAGACGACGACGAGGAAGGAGGGAGGACGACGACGGCGACAACGACGACAACGACGACAACGACGAGGGAGGAGGGAGGACGGCGACGACGCGAACGACGAAGAAGGAGGAAGGACGGCGACGCCGACGACGACAACGACGAGGGAGGAGGGAAGACGACGACGACACGACGACGACGACGACGACGACGACGAAATAGGAGGGACGACGACGAGACGCCGACGACGGACGACGACGACGACAAGGGAGGAAGGGGAAGGACGACCACGACGACAACGACGACGGAAACGACCACGACGCCAAAGAGGACGACGACGACGAACACGAGGAAAGACACAGGACGACGTAGGCGACGACGACGACGACGACGCGGGAGGAGGGAGGACGGCGACGACGACGACGACGACGACAACGACGACGCCGCAAGAGCGCGCGCGCACGCTTTTGTTGAAAATCCGTGTTGCGAAACCTTGTGTTTTTGTAGGTTTTTTGGACGCGCGATTTTAAAATCCTTCCGAAACCGATGGGTTTTGAAGGATTTCGGCATACGCGCGCGACTACGCGCCCGTCTGCACTTCGTCCCATTTGTTGCAGAGGATTCTCGCGACGGCACACGCGCAAGGGCGTTCGGCAGAATTCGACATGCGCGCGCGCGAAGCCCGTTTGGTAGCATGTTGTGAAAATCTTGAAAAACCAATGGTTTTCTTAAGATTTCGCAAGAGCTCGCGCGTAAGCTTTGTTAGCAAATCAGTGTTGCGAAACCCTGTTTTTTGTACATGTTTTGGAAACTCGATTGCGACATCCTTCCCGCAACGAAGGTTTTTGAAGGATTTCGGCATGCGCGCGCGACGACGCGCGCGTGTGCACTTCGTCCCATTTTTTGCAAGGGATTCGTGAAAAAGTGCTATGTTAGAACAAGAAGACATGTCGCCGCATAGTGTTTTTTACAAGGGAACCTCAGGGGGGGATACCGGCTGGCCTGGGACATTGTGATTTCATATTTAGGATGGACATGTGGTCAGAATCATATGTGATTTACATACCCGAAAGGGGTAGCGATAACGCCGGGGGGGGGTAGAGTCTATTCCCTTTTTAGAAAGGAGAATTGACTACCCTGCACCACGCTTGACCACCTCCACTGCTCGCGCAAACATCCCACCCACCCACCCGCAACTTGGTTTGCAAAATCTCTTTAGACCGTGACGGTGGGTACCAAATGACACTTGGCAACGACAGCGACGCCGACGACGACAGCGACAACGACGACGACGACGCCGCCGACAACGACTACGACGACACCGACGACGTCGCCAACGACTTCGACGACGCCGACAACGACGACGACGACGACACCGACGACGACGACGACGCCGACGCCGACGACGACGACGATGAAAAAGACGATGATGACGACGCCGACGACGACGACAACGACGACACCGACGACGACGACGACGTCAACGACGCCGACGACGACGAGGACGTCGACGACGACGAAGACGACGACGACGCCGACGTCGACGACGAAGACGACGACGACGTCGCCAACGAAGACGAAGACGAGGGAGGAGGGAGGACGACGACGGCGACAACGACGACAACGACGACAACGACGAGGGAGGAGGGAGGACGGCGACGACGCGAACGACGAAGAAGGAGGAAGGACGGCGACGCCAACGACGACAACGACGAGGAAGGAGGAAAGACGACGACGACGATAACGACGACGACGACGACGACGACGGCGACGAAATAGGAGGGACGACGACGAGACGCCGACGACGGACGACGACGACGAAAAGGGAGGAGGAGGAAGGACGACCACGGCGACAACGACGACGGAAACGACCACGACGCCAAAGAGGACGACGACGACGAACACGAGGACAGACAGAGGACGACGTAGGCGACGACGACGACGACGACGACGACGACGACGCGGGA